TTGATTCTTTTCTGAATTAAACCACTTATTTTTAGTGGCTTTGCTCAACAAACATCACGCCTAAGCCAAACACAACACTGACAAAGCAGAACAGCAATTGAGCTTTACTATGTGAATGTTTTCAGATACTTAATGTACGTTGAATTACACTTCGATATGCTTGATTACCTCCTGCTCACTACAGCAGACATTGAGTATAATTGTAGAGCAAAAGGCCTGAATTTACCATTTACCAGGTATGATAAGGTCCTGATGAGCCATCCATGACCATGTGGAAGGCTTATTATTAGAGTGGAACAAGATGCTCCTCATGCTGTCATGTAGAAAAAGACCAGGCTTTGGGTTCTTGGAAGTGTTATTTGACAATTTACCGGTACCAGTGAAATGGTAAACATGTTATGCTTTTATAATATGTGACATAACAAGAAGATACGGTTGTCAGAGCGCTCAGGGTCTTGTAATTCCCTGTAGAATGATAAATGATGCCGGAAAAGATGCCTGAGGGCACAGCATGGTGCAGGCGATTTACATTTACAGCAAGTTTCTTTATTGCTTTGTCTAATGTGAAGCCGATGTGTCTGCAGCCTCATTAAGGAAAGGCCCTGTAGAAAACCAAAAGAAATACATGTGCTCACATGAGTACCAAAAGCTGTTGAACATAAGTAACAGAGTCCCTCTGGCATCCGCTCCCCTTCAGAGGCTACTTGTGATGAACTGTAATGCCCTGCCCTCTCATCAAGATCAAGAGACATTAAGACATTAAGGTCACTAAGAGGGAACAACTAAAACAAACACACAGGGGGGGGCATGCACAATGACCCTTGTTTCAGGGGAGGGCAGGGATCAACAGCGTCTATGAGGTCAACAACATGAGGTGGAGACCGGCAAATGAGGAGAGTAAAGCTTATCCTCCTCCCAGGGACAGTCTATTTGGATCGACATGTTAACCCAGTTTATAAAAAAAAAGACTAGAAAAGACTATCTTACACAGGAGGAACAACATTTCTCTAGCCGCTCTCTTTGGTGCCCGTGTTGACATTTTCAGCCCCGGCTCTGATTCTTGTTCTGCTTCTGTGTGAGAAAGGGCACGGCTACTTGTGTTTTCTTTCCCTATCTTATTCAAACAAACGGCACACACACACACAGAAAGAATAAGAGCAGAGGTACCCTGTTCTTTTTTATTGTTCCCCCCCAAAAAACATCTATCAGCAGAAGATGGGGTAAAATAAAGCTGAATGTTTTTGGTTTTCTGAAAATAGATTAGATTAGTTCTTATGTGAGCAGAAAGTGATTGCATTTCCGATCAAAATTTAACCTAAATGAAGATTTTGTTGCAGTGAAGATGCAGTTTTCTTGTACGTCTGTATTCAGTGGAGAGCTACAGTGTGCTTACACATGCAAAGATGCTCGTTAAAGTGTTTTGTTTAACTACCTTCCAGCCTGTAAATTAAAGGGAATTCGAGTCTCTTGCCACTGAGAAACCCAAGCAGAGCCCTTCTGAAACCATAGAGAGCACTAAAGGTAAGGTTAATTGATTTCCAGCGTGCGTGGACTAAGTTTGAGGGATTTTTATTGTTTTAAAAGTCTTCATCTGAACCATGAAGAAGGGTGTCTGCTCAATGGCTGCTGTTTACACTCTTTTTGGGATCAGACTAAACCTTCTGCGTTTAGATGCTTTCCCCAAGGTGATTGCATGAAGCTGTGTAAGAGTAGGAGGTCTTTATCATAGTCCCAGCTGCTTTTGCTGTTGTGAAGAGACGTTGAGGACCCTCCCCCAAACGTCAGCATACAACAACAGCTTCACTCTCAAAAGATGACAGTGAGAGGCCACCATCAATACTTCCTGAAACTATCTTTTCAATGCGACTGCAGTCACAATCCAAGCCTAACAAACAAGCCAAATGGTACAAAAGGATGCATGTATTCCTGCAGCTCACTCACCAACAAACACAAAAATGCCAGAAATAGAAAAAAAAAATCAGATCCTTTCCACTTGTACACATGGGAAGGTATGCTTAAAAGGAAAAAAAAAGAGAAGAAACAAACAAACAATGGTCCTGACCTTGTCTTTGTGTCTCCATGGAGACAAGGCCTCATCATAAAGTATTCCCCACTGTGTGCGACACACCAGCCTTACTAAAAACAGGCTCAACCAGTATTAAGTCCAACTGAGATCAATTACGCTTATAATAAGATATGTACATCTGTGAACACATTTCTAACAACCCTAGGTTCACTTTTAAAAAAAAGATTTTTTTTTTCTGTTTTAATTACCGTAGTCGAGATAATGTTAAAAATATAAGGCTAAAAGATTGCCATAATTTCAATGAACTTTCTGAGATAACAATGCCCTCTAAGGTGTCTTATTCACAAGGTTGAAAAACTTTCTTTTTTTTTTTATATCCGAGGGGCTAAACTTAGCTGTTTAGCTTTGGTTTTAGCCTCTTAAGGTGGCGTGTTGTAATAAAAGGAGGGGAAACAATGTCTGAGTCCATTAGGACCACAGCGAAAGTCAGTACAGACACTTACTATTCATGTTTAATTACTAAAATCAGCTTAACACCAAAATGTCATAATCAAGTCTCAAAGCATATGACTATTATTCTATAAAATCAAAAGTTGAAAAACTCAGAAAACCAGCTGTGAATGGTATATCATAGTACATATATAGATATATATCTATATAGCTTTGTATTTATATGGCAAGAGTGGATTTTTCCAAATAAATTGAACCCTTAATGGGAAATCATTTTAATAACACTACAACTGTTAAAGCACAACTGTTTGTGGCACCTAATTTGGTATAAAAGCCTCTCGTCTAAGTTGGTATCCAACTCATTTAAACATCTTATACATACATGCATCTCTTACACCTGTTTACAAACACCCGCTGACTGTAACAGACAGCAGCTAAATCCCGTGGGGCTGCGAGAGGGGGAAGAGTAAGGCAGAGGGGAGAAAAAGAGCAGGTGGCAGAAGGCTTAACCTGAGCTAAAACCCATCCAATGAGCTCATCTCCACAGGCTTAGCAGGCTGGAAGTTGTCTGCTTTCTGCCAGAACAAGAAGAGGATCTACCTACACCCACCCAGTCCGCCAAGTCAGCCCCCAGCACCCTGCTAATCTGTCTGAGTACAACCTGCGGGCCATATGCTCTTTTCCTGTCTACCGCCTTGTAAACAAAATAATCAATGAGCAGCCTTATGCATCTGTAAAGATACATTGCGGGGAGGTATGGGTGTGTTATTAGCATGTTCATAAAGGATCTGCACATCTTGCTATATAGTTTAGGTCGCTGAAAGGTGGGCAAAAACATTCAGCTCCTTGTGCTGATGTCACCAAACCCCTCCTTTCATGTGAGCGCAGCTCAGGTAAGCCCATGAGTAAAACAGATTTCCTCAGTCCCATCATCTCAATAACAAGTGTGCTTTATAAGCTCCTCTAATCCTTTTTGCAAACGTGCCTGAGTACACATGATATGACCAAATAGAGACCAGACCGCATCACTGCCACCGTGTAATGATTTCTATAGGCATAATGCATTGCATTGTGGATCCGGGGGGGGATTAACACACCAAGTTGAAGAAGAGAAAAAAAAAACAACCTGGTGAAGTTTGGTTGAGGTGGAAAACAATAACAAAGCCTGAATATGGGGGCTGTGCCAGGACCATAACTACCTTCCTGTTGTTCTGCTCTAATCCCCTGAGTCCAAGCCTGTTTTAATGATGTCATGGCAGGGAGAAGTGCTGATGTTGTACCTAAGACGTGGTGTAATTTAATTAAATCTGACATACAAGTTAGGTCTCTGAGCAGCGGATTATCTGTTTCTAGAAGAGTTCTCCAGAAATTTCCATCCAAAGCAGGAGACAGCACAACTAATCACACACCTGTTGCACACGCGTCACTTTTATGCGGGACGAGGCCGCGTCGCCGTGGTGACTGTTGCTACTTTTGCTTTTAGGACTTGATTAAAAAGTACTGGCCACTAGCAGCATGCACAAAAATGTATCACTCAGCCAACACCGGGCGAGGAGACACCTCTGCAGGTTCCCAGTCAGGAAGCTCATTAGCATCAGCACTGCATTCATCATCATTCCACATTCTGCTAAACGGTCTCTGAGGGAGGCCAGTTGAAAACAAGAGCTAACGGGAAATATGGCTCCAATGGAGCTTGAACGTATGATGTTTTCTTCTTATTTGATCGGGTAAAACTTGCGCACATAGAAAGCATGTGCTCATAGAAAGTGCTAACTACTGTGTAGGAATTTAGATGTTGGAGAGAACATCATCTTTAAAATGTGTTTTTTTGCTGTCTTTTTCAATCGTCAAAATGTGTGAAAACATAAACAAAATATGTGAAAACATAAACAACTCAGCAGGAAAATGTATCTTATTTTAAGTGACGCTGAAGCCAGGGTTTGAAAATAAGAATAGTGCAGCAGAAAAACTGAGGCTTTGATTCATCTGCTACATCCTGCTTCTTTATTATTAGTGGAAAAATGAAAAATATCAGATTCTTCATAGAAACAATTACAATTTACTGTCCTTCTTGTAATCTTCAGGTTTTTATTAAATTACGGTGGAATCGAATAGCAACTCAGCGCGGATGGTTCATATATTGCGAATACTCTGCAGCGCAGCAGAAGATGATGAGAAATGATCCCCAGGTGTTCACTGAGAAAAAGCTTTCACATGTTTGCTTATACAATCATTCCTATTTGTAAGAGTTGTTGGAAAGGCCATCCTGAGGTCTGACTCGTCCTGCATTCACTTGCAAATTGAATGTGACATTTGAGGCTTATCAACCTTTTTTTTAGAAAAAAGAAAAGAGGCTCTGGCCTTTATCGAGGTTCCTGAAGACACCTTATCAGTGAATGCTCATGACCGACAGGAGGGGGCTTTGAAAACCAAGACAAGAGGTTTTCTAACACACGCACGCACACACACTGACCCCATCAGTCACTCAAATGCGCAGATAAAGAATAAATGATGGCCATCTCACCTGGTCATCCACTCTGTGGGCCACGATGGAGGCTCCCTCCTCCTGTTCAGCATCACTGACGGGTCGGATCCTCAAGGCAACCTGCAGCAAACAGAAGAAACTCACTTATGCTTGGATTTAGTCAACGCAAACATTTTCCACTTGCTGAAATTGTTCCAGAATATAACTTGATTTTTCGATGCACCTGAACTGAGTTGCACTTGAGGATGAAAACATTTAGGGCTCACTTGTTTGACTTGCAGGTGGCAGAGCAGAAATCAGACGTGTTTGTTAGTTGTGGCATGTGTGAATTCCTCAGGTCTTTGAAGGCAGATACGTTCTTAGTTTTTTTTTTAAATAATTTGGCCATTTAACAAAGCATGAGTCATTTTCTTTTATACTTTGTAAGACATAAATTCCAAAGATTACAGTGGAGTTACTCAATTGACAGAAAGCATGTAGCACAAAGATGAATCACATTAAAAAATGTTGGCACATAATATAGGTGGTACTGAGTAATACTGTATTGCATCAGGAGAGATGTAAAAGAAGACTTCACAATAACCCACTGATGTTAGCTGAAAATTTTAAATCACAATTGTTTTAAATGACAAGTACTGGATGCCAAAATGTTCATCATAGAAATTATAACGAAAGACACTCAAATTTATCTACAGCTAGATTTTAAATCAGTCATGTTATTTTCAAGTTTTTGAGTCAATTTGGCACATTATCCTCTCTGTAAAGACTAACTTCTTTAGTTTCCTGAGAAACTAAAGGTTCCCACACCAAAACACAGTGTTAATTTCCAGCTCTGGTAAACATACCATGAAAAACTGCTCAGTTTGTGTTTTTTTAGATGAATTTGGACTGATTTGGTACATTAATAGATTTACAAATAAATCCACAACACTAATTGAAGCCCATCTCTCATGCAAAAAAGATCATTTTCCCACCTCCAGCAATTACCGACACAAGATACAGATCCCTGCATTGTCCTCTGTGTGCGCATACATGTGCGGTTGGCGGAAAAACGTGACTGATGAGCATAGTAAGAAGTGTCGTATTTGAATAGGCTCTGATGCTAAACTGCCTCTTGTGGTAAACAAGATTAAAAAATAATGCACATTTCCCATTCACCATCTACAAAGCAGTTAACTGCTGCGGAGTGGAAATGACAGCCACTTAGGGCGCCTTAGGGAAACAAATAGGTGGATTCAGATGTAGTTATGCTGTTAGACGACACGTGCCTGCATGCTATAATTCCATGAACACATTCAAAGGTCATCAGAGATGAGTTTAATGTTAATAAACTAGGAAGAACGGAGAACTGTAACAGCAGTGGTCATACACCAAGAGTAAAGCCTTATGACTCATACGAGTCTTCGAATAGTAATAAATGTGCTCCACATGTTGGGCATGGCTCTTCCAGTAAGAACAAACAGATGGGAAGTGCGGATCCACGGCGGTGTCACCGAGGCCCCCCTATGATAATAATAATAAGATTCTGTCTCGTTCAGAACCCTGCGGAAGGTGTATTATATGCTGGATAAGAGAGGCCCGGCAGCTGAAACAGCCACTTCAATAATTCAGGGATGGACTGCAGAACACAGTGCAGGCAGTGTGACTAGAAAGTGAACATATAACACCAACAGCAGATGTCCAGCAACAGTGGGATATAGAATACAAACAGTGGCCATATACGCCTATAATGCATGCACAAAGCCTACAGTGTTTGGTTCATGTTTCAGAGGCGTTGCTGTACAGGGTTTCCTTATATTCAGATAAGGTTATAAGCATAAAGATCAAGCTATTTACAACCTGCATGATGCTGTTGTCCAGAGCAACAGGAGAATAAACTCAAAGTAATTATAAGAGGTCACAAATGTTAAGAAAAACAGAAAATGGCAGTCGTTATCTACATATATTAGTTGTTTCAGGTTCTTTGGCAGGTAAAAGTGACCTCCAAGTCTTCAATGAGCAGATTTCTGGCTTCTTGGTGGTTGTTTTGTGTTGTTTTCTTTACCACGATTGAACCGTTTTTTTCAATTTTGAATTAAGTGTGCAACTCATCCAACCTGCTTTGCGTTCCAAAGTTTTCTCAAAAGGACTGACAACAACAAAAATCGCTAAACTGACGGTTTTTAGCTTACACTTACGGTTAGTTGGTGGTCTTTCGATTCTCCCGTGTCCTTCATGTTTGTTGTCAGAGTGAGGGACACCGAGCATCAACAGAAGTCGGAGCACTGGACCATCCTGCTCCGAGCTGTTGCTACCTGCATGCCACTTCCCCCTAAGCGACGGCTTGGCGAGTAACGGCTGAAAATAGTCCCTAAATCTCCGAGTTCTAGAAAGCGTAACAACCGACCTAACAACCACTGGTGTATTTCTTACTTAACGAGCTGTCTAACTAGCGGAGAGCTACTCTCTCCTCCTCCTCCTCCTCCTCCTCCTCTCTGTCCGTCAACGTGGGCCGACGCTCCCCCTCCTCCTCTTCCTCCTCCTGGCAGCAGCTTGGAAACAGGCGCATAAAATTCATTCAGCCCCTCGACGACAGGCCGGAGAGCGGAGCGAGACAGGTGACGGCGGCGTCGCCTCGCCTGCTGCGTTCACGTCCCCCTCGGCGTCCTCGCCCCAGTCCGAGGGAACGGCTGGCTTTTTGTTTGTTTGTGTGTCTGTGTGCGTGAGTGTTGTCCCTGGAGATCCGAAGCTCCCGGTAGGATCAAGTCGGCCGCTACAGACACCTGTCCACTTCCGACGATAAAATAAAAGGGAAAAAAAAACAGTGTGACCGTTTCCGTATCTTTGTTGTAACGCGAACGTTACTCAAATTTACTGGAACTTCTTTAAGTTAAAGTATCGCCCAGTCAGTTTTTTCCATATCCAAGTCAATTTAAACGCCATTTGAAGAAAAAAAAAAAGAAAAGCTTATTGTGTATTTTGAAGCTTTATACTGTGCCAATTAAATTATCTTAGTGGCATTAAGATTGTGTCTGAAAACTGGATAAAAAAACCGTTTTGATATCACAATTGAAAAAAGAGCTAATTATTGTAGCTATATGAATGTAGCCCCCCCCCCCCCTCCCCTACAGTTGAACTGACTGACCCTAAAGCCACTGTGACCTAAGGCTTTGTCCTAATTCATCCATACACTTTCTTAAACTGGTACATGCCCTGGTACGGGTGGGCTGGAGACGTGGAGTAACAACTACAGATTGAATGGTAGAAGCCTAATTTTGTGGCACTGTGCTGACATCTACTGGACAAAAACTGTTGGAACAGTTTCAAATTGAAGTAAAACATTTGGAAATGCACAGTTTGAAAGCATTTGTTCCTTATAAAAACATTAAGTTCATATTTAGAAAACCATGAAGTCTTTGGTTGATACAATTTTAAATAAGAAACCATTGTCCCGCAAGAAATAAAAACGTAAAGTGGAAGACATGAACCTTTTAAACTGAACTAAACTTTTTCTACATGTGACTTGTTTTGATCTTCAACGTAAGAAGTCAAATAAATTAAGTTTAGAAATCATTATCTCTTAACCAAGAAGTCCAGATGTCTTTCTAGCACTGACTTCACCACAAATATTTACATGCATGGCAACAAAATCCAAGACACATCAAGTTGTACTCAAAAGCTGGTTTAATGAACTAACAAAGAGATCCTTCAGCTTGGGGTCTCACACAAAATTAAGCACTACTGTCAGTGCCTGTACATTGTATCATGCTTAAAAACAAAGTATTAATTAAGCACACTGCATGTATTTAAATCCCTATTAAAAAAAAGAACACTGTTAGTCTTTAGAAATGATCTGTTTGGACATCTGGATTTAATGAAACCTGAATATTATCATTAATTAGAATTACAGCAGCTCAGTTTCTCCACACATGATAGGAATGACAGCTTTATCGTTGGATTAGGTACAGACTGTATAAAATGATGACCCTTTAGAAACAAAAATAATAATTAAAAAAATAGCAAAAATAGTCAACCTATGTGACACTGTCACAAAAACTAGAAAAAAATGGCACACAGTTTAGACAAATTAAATTCAGAATAAGACAGTTGCCTGCTGCTGTACAACATATTTACAGAAGCCATGGTCACAAAGTAGTCTTGTCTGCGGTGGTAAAGCTTCATTAGTGGGGATATTTTCTTGTGTGGGAATGACAATACTTTTTCTCACCTTTACCTCCAGCATGGTGCTGCCAACGCTGGGTTTGTGCTTCACAAAGATCAGAGTAGAAAGGAAAAAATATAGCAGTGTTTGCCTCAGTTACCACATATCATTCTTTGGACACCTGAATACAAGTTGGTAGAAGTGCCGCACACCTCCATTTCAAAGCTTTGCCAGGAAGTCAGACAGAAAAATCTTGATTTTTAAAATATTACTGGGAAACTGGTTCAGTTTTTCCAACATGATTTAAAAAGTTGGTGTGAGGTATCAAGTGAACAGGAATACAATTTTTAAGAAGATTAAGAATTGTTAGGTAAGTCAGGAGCTTTAAACAAAGAGAGAGCGGTAAAGACTCTGTCCCATTGCTCTGCACAGGTTGAAGTCCAGATTGACCAGGTGTTCCACCCTTTCCCTGTGATGCTTCTAACAGCCACGCGCTCCTGGCTTGTTGAGAGCGGGATGCCGCCCCTCTACTCGGGCGAGTAAAGAAGTCTATGCTTGGAAGTCGTTTCCAAAGTGCCTGCTCTGTTCTTCGGTCATGGAGAGATAGGTGGCCCTCATACTGGGAGAGTACTGTGGCGGAAAGACGAACACAAAGACAAAGATGGTTACTCTGCCATTCTTTGAGCTGACGGTGATGAGCAGAAAACTGAAATAAATCAAACGAAGGGAGGGGAAAAGGAGCTTAAAGGAGTCATCCACTGAAAATCTATCTTCTGAGGATATAACTCTTGCCTATGAAATGTCACTATTAGCAGTTATTTAGGATTATGTCTCCATTTATCAGACAGAATGAAACAAGAATTCAGTCTTTAAAACTATAAAAGTTGTTTCCTCAAAGGAGTGCTTGTGGGAACTCTTATAAGCCACACTTCAAGTTTTAGATAACCACAAGTTAAATTTTCAGTGGAATATTTGTTCTTCAACTCATACCTACCTACAAAATAAAAAATGTCAACCCCTCACTCATTCAAAAGGCTGTTACCCTCAAGTAACTTCCCAGTTTAAGATTTGTTTTCTTTTTCTTTCTTTAAGGAATTATAGCAATGCTGAGCAAAGTGCCAGCATGTGCTCAAAAGGACTGCATGCACAGTGAAGGCTGTGTGAGACACAGCCATTCCACCCTGTGAACACCAGAGGGGGGCAAACCCTAACTATGTAACAGCAACTGCTGTGGGAATGAAAAGCCATGCCAAACAGGAAAAACTACACAGGAACCAAAGTTATGGGAGGTGACGGAGAGGCAACATATGGAGATGCTGTACTACCGTACAACAGAGGAAAAGGAAGGGAGTTAATCCTGAGGAAGAGTAGAAAGGACTTACTCGGTTTCTATACTGCTGAGAGTATATCTCCAAAAGTTGATTAAAATAAGAAGGAATATCGAAATGAAAAACACAAACAAACACACACACACACACACACACATGACAAACAAACAAATAAAAAAATATATAAAAGAAGCTGTTAGCAGAAGACGACAGCATGGCACTGCACAGTTGTAGTCATGAGGGAGAACTGAAATATGCTTTCTTGCTGCTGTTAGTAGACAAACAAGGCAGAGAACATCATATGTTTGTGTATTATTGCCACTATGAGCTGGTGATTATGAACTGAATAACAAAAATATACATACAGTATATAAAGAGTATAATAAATAGATAATTACATCACTTTTGTCATTAAGATTTCAAAGGAACAAGCAAGACAGTTAGCAAAAAAAAAAAAGACAATAGAAGGATATAAAATGTCATTAAAGTGGCATGCTCGATGAAAATTTAATAAGAAATATTTCTAAGTTTATCTCTGTGACATAACATGTGGTGTTAGATGTGTGGCCCAGCGTGGTTGCGAGTTAAATCAGTGAAGAGGAAAATCTTGAGTGGCAACAGCCAAAGAGTTGAAACCTGTGTCACTTTCTCCTGGGAATGGGTCTTGAAAGAGGTTAAATGGTGTTCTGTCCATATTAAATATTCACTCTATTACTTCTACTCTCCTTGCTCTGGCACTGTACTTTCGCCTTCTGTAAGTTAAGATTGCAGAGAAAGGCACAGTGTCTCATTAAATGTTATGAGGATTTGCTTAAACAAGCAAACCAAGTTAGGAAAGGACTTTAAATGTCTTCACGTGTGAGTGGCTTAGAGGTAAGTTTTAAAAAGGCTGAGCCCCTGAGTGGATTTCCAGTGCTTTAAAGGCTAAATGTGTTAGCTTTGCGGGGGAAACAACATCATAGGAAGGACTTGGCCTCTGGGACCCAACGCACCGAGGGGGGTGGAGAGCCTCGTCCAATCAGTGGTACGTTCTCGTACCGTGGATTCCCCCCAAAAAGAGCTGTCTGGTTCCTGGAAAAGGAGAGGAGGAATTTATCTCATGAACTCATTTGAGCTTATCGTTTATGCACTCTTGCCTTCTCTCGCTTACATGTACTCAGACATGGGGGCATTGGAGACGGTGGGGGCGGGGGGGTGCAGGCTGTTCTGGCTGCCCATGCTGCTGCTGTAACTGCAGAAGCTGTGCATGTTTGTGAGGTTGGGGTTCTGGGAGCCTATCCTCCTTGCCCGTGGGTTGAATGGGTCCTCTTCATCAATGTCGTCATAATCTCGATCTCTAAGGAGGGAAAATAGAGTATACATAGATCATTTAGTTATTTTAGTTACTTCAATGGCAATTTTGAAGCAAGACACCTTCCACATTATATAATCAACATTCCATTCAACCTCCAAGCTTTATGTTAAAATGAGCTTGACAATAAGCTGACCTGCAGGCAATTTGTCTCCATGCCCTCGGAACGGCGCACAACATGACAGTGAAGGCACAGGCTGCAAGGATGGAAAAGAGGCAAAGGTACAGCACACCCTCCACTCCGTCATAGCAAACCCCCACCATAGCATCCAGGTAGTCCTATGGAGGTCAAGCAGAGAACATTAATACCAGTATGTTTGAATTTACAGCAGGCAAAATTAAACCAAGATGTACAGTAGAAGCACTTTGATTAACAGCGTGTGTGATTGCAAACAGCTATTTATTTATATGCTGCTTATTCAGAGTGACAATCAGCATTAATCATGCAAACCGCACTGCAGTTCCGCAAAGCACTTAATAAGACGCGTGCAGAGAAAAAAGAAAACCTACAATGTGAACTGTATAAAAAAGTTCACATTTTATATTCCTTCTGTAGTGTGTTGCTCTGTTCTGGCCCGAGTTCCATTTTCAGTTTTATGTGGAAATCCTGCATTGCCACTTACTCTCAAGCTGGCCTAGTTTGTACTGCTGGGATGCCAATTAGGCTGCGGTGAACAAACCTTGTTGAGCCCCCTGCAGTCCAGTAGGGCGGTGAGCTGGTGGAGACTGGCTTCTGAGGAATTCAGCACATGCTGGATACCAAGTAGATCTCTCTGTATGGAGAGGTCACATCACTGAAAAATACTTCTGCAATTATTTGTGTGAGGGATTCCTCTAAAACTGCTTCTAAAATCATCGGGCGATCATACCTCAGCTGTCGGGAAAAGAGGCACAGCAAACTGTAGCAGACCCTGGACCTGGATTTGCATGGTGGTCAGAGACCTCTGGAAGATGGTCAGAGGCTGCAAAGGATAAAAAGTGTATTGAAGTGAATGAGCTAGTTTTTTTTAACTTAATTTCAAAAGGATTTAACTACTTCCTGATCATGTGACAGTAACAAACACACACATCTACAGAACTTTTTAAACACAAATTATCTTCCTAATCAGAGGAAAGTGGTTTTCTGGCTGGTCAGAAACAGCACATGGTTTTCAGCTCAAGGGTTAGCCATCACAGCTAGCCTTAGAGAGGGATCATTTTACAAGAGTTCTTGCATTTGATGAGCAGGTTTAATTTAAAACCTAAACACTTTCAATGTAGACATCATCTTTCCATCGGTCATATATTAAAAAGTCAAAATCATCTTGGATACATTGTGTTTAGGTTTGTTGAGATAATCTGTAATGAATCCATCTCAACATGAAGTATTTTACCAACAGGGGCAAAATAATCCTTAAGATTTAGCAGAGAAGAAGAAAGGATCGTATCTGAAATGCAGTACTGTCAAGCATAAATAAATGAATGAGTCATAAGAAAAACTCCATCTTCACAGTCACCCACTCCATCTGTCATCCAATGACGCAAGAAGTCAGAAACCCCCAGTCCACAGGATAATGTTAAATCGGACAGGATGTGGCGAATTACAACTATCCATAAGTGCAGTTTATTTCCTGATTTATTTCTTAATCCAACTTACAGTGTTTGGTCCAAACTGCTCTCAGCTACACAGTCTGATGGCCCGATTAGGTTGTTTGCTTTTTTAATTTAGCAGGTTGAGCCTGCTCTAAATCAAATTAATTTAATATAAATAAAATCTATGGATCTATGGAAATCTATGAACAGAGCAAGAGCTCATCATGATATAAAGACAACAGTGGTGTACAGAACACTGATATAACTTGGTGCATGTAGTACATTTTTGCCGTACTGCAGGAGACTGAGACACAAGGATGAATGAAAAAATGAAAAAGAGAAAGGCTAAGCTTGCATTTCCATTAGCTGCCAGTTTGCTTGTGAACTTTGCACCTGTTGGTTATCAGCATTGCAAAAAACAGGGCCGATTTTGTTTACCATGGGTAGGTTGCACTTGTGTACCCTGCTTGCTGTGCTCTTGTTCTGTTCTCTGCAGGGCATGTCTTCTAAAGCCAGATAATAACATTTGAGCTCCGTTGGACAAGAGCATGCAGAAATGGACTTAACTGCTGACCGCTTTAAGCAGGGAAGACAGTGACATGACCCAGAATCTTGCCTCTCCACAGAGTAAAGGCACAGATTCTCAGAACAGTGAGAAGTAGAAGATCTACCTAATTGTCTCAATCTAATAATATAAGTTATTCTACAATATTATATTCTTGGTCTTGGTATCTTTGTGTCACTTCGCTAAGCTCTGCAAAAGCAGGAATAAAGCAAAAGCAGACAGAAGAGCAGTCTGTGAAAAAAGAGTTGGATGCTGAGCAATTGTGACCAGAAGTTGGGAAGTAATTCAGACAGACAGGGCCGGACAGAAAGAAATTTCCTGACAAAGATGAAGCCTGAGTATCTGCGAGATGACCTCTGTACTGAGCAGAGATCTCAGTAAATCACAACTCAAAAGACATGTAGACACATCAAACTTAAACACAGCAGGATTGAGTTATTTTGTCCTATGTTGTGTGCTTTTGCAAGAGTTTTTAAACACACTTAAATTCTCTGCTTTAAATAGAAGTCATAATGTTAACAAAGCACTGTTTGAACACAACACAATCTTGTTAATAATTCACCTGAATATACTATTTTAAAATATTTTTTAAAATATATTTTCACTCTGTATATTGAGGTAATCAGCTGATAAAATTTCTGGGTACATAACATTGCTCAATTGAAGCAAACCTTGATCATAACCCTGCCCCTACAGGCATGTACAATAGATATGAAGCACGAGGACTAAGCCTGAGGACATTATGAGAGCAAGACTTTATCGAATGTTCTGCTCATCCTGATTCAGCCATCACTCTGGAGAAATGCAAAACTCCAGTCTTTGTGGACTGTGGTAAATTCTAGCTCTTGTTTTTTTTTCTATAAAAGATTTCTGTTATGAGGTATACCAAACTTTACATAACTGTTTAGTTCCCATACTCTCTTCCCATGATCTCTTTTCATCATGTGTGAATGCGGCCTCCATCATGACTGTTCAAGGAATGAGAAGCTGACTACCTGTGCCAGGGTTAAATAACTTGTCACAAGCAGGAACATTAATCCCCGCAGGACATTTCCACTTGGATGCTCGGGCCAATTTTCATTCTCATATTCATGTAGTGACACTGTGTATGACCAGCAAATGCCCTTTGGACTACATTACTTTAAGCCACTCTCTTTGTTGTTGCTGCTGTTACGTTTTTTGTGTTTAAATTAGCTGAAATTCCCCTGTGAAATATTCAACATGCACAAAGTAAACCATAAAAACTTCCTCCAAGCTGTGTTTTAACCCAGATTGTGTTGTCCATCTTATGACCCGTGAATCATCGAATGCCTACAAATACCATCAGTCAGTATTCTGCTCAAGAATGCTGCACTTCTCCTACCTGCTGAAAGGGGTTGGAAAGAGTCTGGTTGCAGTAAATGTAGTAGTGGACAATATCTGTGGAAAACACACGGGCATTTTAAGCCATAATAGTTTAGCTCCATCAAAGTGGTATCATTCATGTTATTGACACTGAAACTCACCTGAACCGATGATCCCTTTTGTCTGACTCATGACGTACTTGTCAGGAGACACACAGAAATCGCTTGTGCCCTGAAATAGAAAATGAGATATGGGAGAGGAGCGAAAAGGAGAGAGAAAACAAAGACGGACTTGAAAAAGATTGAATGGGTTTTGTAATAAGTATGAGTGAAAACTGAATGAGGATATTTGGAGTGGGAATCAATAAGTGGGTTTTGTACTAATCTACCTGACACTGACATTTAAAGTCTTTTGACACAGAATAGGAAACTTGAAGACCTCTTGATGGGAATACATTTTAGGTCTGTCACTCACATCCACTTGCACTCCACCGCGGAGTGCTAACAAAAGCACGCCTTGGCAAAAACAATAAAAGCGGAGAGCGGGAGTCTCTTCCGAAGTGTTGTCTGAATACTAAATCAGCCCTGGGCTCTGGAAGCACACACTGCATGTAGCTTAACCTTCTCTGGAGGGTTACTCTAATGAGCCCTCTCCCCTTCACACACACCAACACCCACACACGCACACACACAAACACACACACATGTAAGATAAAAGATAAAGCGAGCTGAGGTTCTGGGCAAAACCAAGTAAGTTTGTTAAAAACAAGGGATGCCAAGGAGTTCTGCAATTCAGGAGCAAGTGCGTCAGGATTCCTGAGGGAGGAGCATTCTCAGTGAATGCAAAGCTTTGACTTTTACTAGTCTTTAATTAGACGATCTGTGAGGTAGTTATTGAATATGCATGGATACGTGTTCAGTTTTCAGGCAGTTATCTAAATGTAGTCCACTTATACGTACAGCTCAGGATTCCCTTGCTGATATACAAGCATTTGTCAGTCAGCCAGCAAAAAACATCTGCTAAACAGGCTGTAACCACACATGAAGATCCTCAAAAATGCAAATTTGTAGTAGTCTGCAGATTGAACCATGCTGGGCTTTGTCCCCACGGAAGGAGGGGGAGGGTGGTCTGATGCTCAGTCAATGTTCAGTCATCATTTCAGGGTGGAGCATTCTCCATATGATGGTTACGGGCTCATTTTGTGAAAACTACTCAATGTCAGCGCACAACCTCTCCATCAGGTTCTCTTTAAAAGTAAAAAAAAAGAGTCAGAGCCAGCTGATGCAAACATGTAGAAACCACCTCAGCGGTGCATGGAACTGCTGGTCTGTTAACTGCAAACTGGAGTTAAATACCAGATAAAGATATGTGAACTTTAATTAGAAAATTAACATGCAATTAAAAAAAAAATCTTATATCAAATTGTGAGTATTACATTTTTGGATTTATCGACATTCTCACACAGGAAGTCAGTGTTTTTCAAGTGTGTATTTTTTAAACATAAAAAAAAAAAATCACAATTGAGAACCATGCACACAATTCAAAGTCCCAGCACTTGCCCCAAGGATGAGAGCATGACCTTAAAGCTGACAGTGTTCACACATTTCACTTCTGCTCCACGAGCCCTCAGATACAGACACATCTAAGCCAGTCACGCCAAATCAGAAAACTATACACGAGGAAGAGCAGTCTTTTTACACATACTAATGCCGAGCCTGAAGAGGCTGTGGAGATGGTTTATTTAATTGCTCTGTTCAAATGTTAGCCATTATGATGTTTACTTTCAAGCAGCGCCAGAGCACAGATGGCTTTTCCAGTCAGGGTTAGCCGGAGCAAAATGTGACAGGGCAGACAGCTTTGTGCAACTGTTCGACGTAATTGCAATGATTTAAAAAAGGACAAAATGAGGAAATTATTCTGCTGTCCCTTTCAGTAAAGTCACATCATTCTTGTCCTGAAGAAGTAGAAAACCCTCCCTCTATACTTAGCTTTAAGCACTAATTCTCACATGTACTCAGGAGAGGAGACTTGTCTAATAAACAGATTATCGTGTACTTCATCAAATGCTTTCATGTTTTCCTCAAAAGACCTCAGACCAGCCAAACACTTGCTGTTTTGATGCAGTGGAAACACTCTTCAATAAAATACACCTCTAGATATTTGTTTTCACTCTTGCTCGTACATGATTTTTATGTTCTGACTTAAACATAAACACAACATTTGTTAGAGTGATTATCTGTGTGTTATTTGTTCCAAAGCTGTGTGCACAGGGATATATGCTTGCAGACTTTTGTTCAGTGAGTCTAGCTCGTGCATCAAAGTGCTGTTATGACAGGAATCCAGCAGGGATTCAGGCAATCGATTCAGGAAAATGTCACAAAGAGAGGAGATGTGTGAGGGACATAATAATCATTCATCTGGTTGATGAAAAATGATGATATAGCCAGAGGCAAACGGATCTGCTGTTTTCTTTAGATGTTCATTATCATCAACTAAAATTCATACGTGTACCACCGACCAGATAAAACAGAGCATGCAGCAAAAAAAAAGTGAGAAAAGCCCATCTGAGGCAGGCGAATCAAACTGATTCTTCAGCATATTCTGCTGCTCAACTCTGCTCACTTCATCATCATGAAGGTTCCAAAGCTTTGATTAGATTTGCAGTGAACGTCCTTCAATTTGAATCAAGCTATTCATTGTAACTGCAACAAAGTTTGAGTTTAGAGCCTCTGCTCCTATGTAAACGCATATTTACTGAAAGAGATGTGAGACATTAAAGGCACTGCTGTGATTTCATTGATTTACATTAGTTTCTTATGTTTTTTCTTTTCATGTTTAACTAAACAATCACTGTCATGAAGGCAAAGAGCTGAGAACTGACCAGTTTATGGTGGGGCAGGTGAGTGAGTTGGGTAGAAGAAGATAGTCAGCCTACCACAGCGGTTGCCAGGTCAGCTCCCAGAGAGGTCCAGCTCAGGATCAGCATCAGCACTCCAAACACCATCATCCTGCAGTGACACAACGTAACAGCAGTGTTAAACTGATACTTTATGCTCTAATCTATATAAATGCTCAACTATATAGCTGTTAAATGCAATATAGCGTATAACTACATCTTCAGTGAACCTGGATTTAGTGGCTCATTACAGCTTATTGTCTAAATAATTTAACATTTAACCCCTCTATAGTCAAATCTGTCATATAATTTGGACTGATCAAACATAATTAGGAAACACACACGCGCGAGGTGATGAGTGAAGAGTAAGAATCCAATAGGAGCATCTTTAGGGAACAGGATAAGGGGCTTTTGAGTTCTTCTGGTAAAGTTGCCTGTTCGCAGTGGCAACTTTGACATTCATGTTGGCATCATTTTTCATTTTCCTTACAACGTGCTTGGAGTGATCTTAAAGAGGAACATAAATGACAAAGAGGGTAAAAGACACATACACAACTCTCTGTTCAGAATCCCACCCTGGTGATTTCACTGAATCAGCAAACAACACCACACATATGTGTTTCTGTGTCTGTGTTTGGGGGGGGGGGGTTGACAGATTAGAGGGCTTAGGTGTGCATTTCTGCTTGCTGGGAGGAAGTCATACTGCCCGCAGGGCAACATTTAAATAAGGGATCAGCTTTAGTTGAGTGAAATAATCAAAGAATCCAACTTAGGAGTCAAATCCTTTCAAATCCACAAAGTCACTTCTATTGATCGGTCACTACTGCCCTCTGCCATCAGATCAGTTTTTTTCTCCTGTAATTTGTGTCTTTCTTTCTGTCTCATGGGCCCTCAAAAGGCTCAGGCAGCTACAGCTTATGTCTTTTAAATAAAATCTCTTTTTTTTTTTTTTACAAAAAAGTACTTGTCCCTTGTGATGATTCAAGAAGAACTCAAATGAAATATTTACACTGTTACATAACGTGACCTGCGTGGACGGATGGGTGGGCACTGTGACTGTTGCAAAGTGTTTTAGACAAGAGAAAGCATATTAGAGAAAAAAATAATTTCACGTTATAATTAAAGCAAAGTGACATGTCACGGCTGGGACGTGGTCAAACAGTATTTCACAATCTTAAAAATAAAAAAGAGTTTCCCAGATTAACTTCTGTAAACATTTTAAATCTCTGGAAAATTCAACTTTGCCTAACGTCATGACTCACATGATTATGTGAACATACCTGCATTATCCCTCCAGAGCTTCAAAGTTTGAAGGGCTGTGTTTGAATAAATCATCACACCCCCTGATGTCATACTCCAGTCTGTTTTTTTTAAAACTCAAAATCAGTGACCTAGATTTGTATCGTTTTTGACTTGGAAGCCCTTGAATATTAAACATAGCTGTCCTCTCCATTCATAGGTATTTTTGCACTTAGTTAACAGTGCTAGAAGGATATTATTATTGCATACTACTGTATATGCACAAAAGCTGAAGTCAACCTCCATATGTCATTTTATAAATAAATGGAATTAGGCCGACATGCGGGACTCCAAGAAGCTGTAGTCCATTATGTTTTTTTTACCCACAGTGAAACACAGACGGAAGCTAAAAATTATATTAAATTGGGCCCGGAGGTCATTGCAGTTTCCCTCTTTGAGCAGAGCAACATCTTAACATCTCTGAGCCATGTTCCCTATAGAACTATATGAGTAAATAACCCTTTTTGACCAAAAAACAAGTGGAGCATGCTAACTTCTTCAGACAGCCCGGTGGGATTTCACTTCCACACTCATGACTCATTTTATCTCACTACAACATATCTCCAAACCCTCCCTCTTGATCACAGAGGCGTACTTAAAAAGTCCGAGCTCCACTCATTGTGTTGTCACATGCCTGCGCTTGCTGCGAACCTGAAAGCTGCTGACTCAGCATGCTTCAGAGCCTTAAAACCTCTGCCTCCCCCCCGACAGCATTCTGCTTTCCATGATTCAAGATTCACCACAGGATTTATATCACAATCTTATACTTGTCTGTCCAGGCTGACACACCGACCCCTTACCTTTTTGTGAGTTTGAAATATCAAATGCTAGGTGTGAATTGTGTGTGGATGACATTATGCTCTCTGACACCTAAAGCTTTTGTTCACTTCCTGTGTGCACTGCTTGTGGTTGGGCGAAAGGAAAAGGCAAAAAAAAAATCTTTGTGACTAATCTCACATTCAAGATCTATGAATAACCAAAATAAGCTTTTCATTGTGCTTCTATAGACATGTTTGAACTATACCTGGTTAGGTGGGTTTATGCATAAGAGGAGTTCCATGTCTGCAATGATCTGCATGACCCATTAAACACCCACAAGATACAACTGCTGTGAATCTCCCCAAAACATTGAATATTTCATAAAGGTTTGCATAAAAGGTGAACTTCACTGTTACGTAAGTGTTTACATAACAGCCCTCCTGCATTACCGGACTTTTCCTTTGACTATTCCTTTGTTATAGTGGTGCCCTTTACTTTGTAATGACTTTTTAGTACGATCAGGATAAAGAGGATAAAGAGTCAAAAGTTCCCCAGGCACTGTAACCTGTGGGAAGGTGGAGCATGTATCATCCAACTCTGCACAGGGTTGACGACCATGTTTCTTTAGAGGCTTTTGCCTACAGACCTAAAACCCAGCCTAGCCCTAACCTGTTCAAGTGGATGTGGGCCCAGTTTGCTTTGGATGCAACTGGATGGTCCTACCATACACTGCAGAATAAAAAACACTGCCCCCATAAACAAAATAAAAGATGCTATGTCGACTGTACAACTAGCTCAAGCAAAAACAAATACTTCAAATTCTCAATTTGGTGTGAGTTTAAACACTAAACATACCTATAACTTTTAATCCGCTTAAATACTGAGATGTCCCTGCACAGTTTGCAGCTATTTGTCCCCTCTCTGGGGCAGAGGAGGTGCACGAGATTTTGTTTTCCATGTTGAATGCATAAGTATATATATAAATAAAAACTTCCCAGCTGCCAAACTCAGCACAAAATACCACATCAGGAAAACAACAGCTTGAACATCCAAATAAAATCTGCTGACAGCAAAGTTTATGGATGTCGCTCCCCGTTTCACACGTGGGTGTAACTTCTTGTCAAAGTCGTATCATGGTTAACACCCAGCCAGGCAGTTAGGAGCACCAGAAGGAGTTGGTAGGCCTCCAGAGTGCAATTTGCCTCCAACCACTTCCACTGCATCCACTAAGAGGGAGGACACGCTGGACACTGAATGGTCTCGTTTGTGTGTGTGTGTGTGTGTATATATGTGTGGTCAGGGGTCAGTGTGTTGGGGAGGGGTTTAGAAGAGATTTAGCACGAATCACACCCCTAACTGCGTAATTTAGAGCGACAGAGGGACGCTCAGCGGAATGAATGAAGCCTAGATGGAATTTATATCCTGTGAAAGGCATTAAACCCACATCATATATACTGGAAAGTGATTTCATGGACAAATTGATCATCATTGTATCAAATCAGCTGTATTTTACTGTGTGTGTGTGGGGGGGTTTGTTGATATAATATGAGATATTAAAGTGAAAAACATAAAGCAAAGTAATCAACCACATGTCATACAAAGCCCTGAGAAACACCATGTTTGTGCCCATTACAGAATGCAATTCGTGTCCAAAAGCAGTTCAAGTGTTAAACTGGAATCACAGCCCGGCAGGAAGTTATATTGTTGATAATATCAAATAGCTTCGCTCCCCATCTCTCCACAGCTTTCCAGTCCAATTTGTCGAGCAAAGCTATTGAGATGGCAACATTCTGAGCCAGTTCAGCCCCCCTGCTGGCAATGCTGAAAGGCAAACGGTCAAATATAACAGGGCTAGCTGAGTCGTGTTTGTACACGGATATGATCCAGGGCTTAGCTGCCAGGCAATTTCCCATGGGAAGAGACTGAAATCTTCCACCCAGTTCCTGGTAAATATCCATATCTGTTTCCTGTGCTGCGCATTATATATATATACATATGGATAACTAACTTTTTCTTAACTACCCAACTCTTTTGGATATAGTTAGGAATTTAGCTTTCTGAAAAAGGCAAACTATATGTGATAGAAATGGAGATAATATCCATTTGGTTGGCATCAGAATGTGAAAAGCAACAAATATTTGTTTGGGAAAGATTAGCTTTGTATTCCAAAGTCAGTAAATCTCCCTATCCATTTCCACGTTTTTCATCTCAACATTTCCTACCCACGAGCGAAAACATAATGCGAAACAGACAAAACTCACACACGAGACACACAAACCACACAAAAATGGAAAAAATAGTGTAGCTTTTTTCGAGTAAACAACAGCAAAGCTCGCCGCTGTAAATACATCAGTTTTACAAAACACATTAGGACTCACGTGGTGAGCAGCCAGCGGGACTGCTTGGCCAGCCCCAGACAGGCCAGCAGGCAGATGATCAGGTCCAGGATGAGAAGCAGCAAGTATGTCAGCCACCTGCGGACAACAGAGACACCCGGAAATTAAACTGCTGCTGGTAAATGCATGTTTTTGCATCAGATGACCCGATTTATTCAAGAGAGACTCCAGTTTTGCACTAATTTGTGCAATTTTGCTTACAACACTGTATTCAACTGGTACATTGTTGAATGAATCTGGGGTTCAGCATACTATCTGAAAATAGTTCTAACAGAAGTCTAAAGCTAAAGGCTAAGGCATTGTTAATTAGTTATAATGGTCATGTTTAGAAAATCTTAGAAAGGACTCTGACTGACCTGTCTTCATCACTTTTGGAACGTTTCCATTAATCTGTCAAAGGCCTTTCTCTCGAATTCCTTTGTAACTATTTTTCTACATTAGCTTTAGAAATACATTTTCAGTAACATTTCAAGCCTAATGTAATTCTAACAGCCACTCAGGCCACTAAACTCATAACCCTTACAGAAAAAAGCTGGGAGGCAGCGCTGCCCTTCCATCACTTCACAGCATTCCTTCATCTGATCCAACTTACAACCCTCTCTCTCATGCGTGCCATGCTAGAAAGGGGCTTAATAAACATTACGATCATAATTCGTTCAAAGAGCTCCGAAACAAAACAAAAAGCTACAAATTTCCATTTGGTCAAACGATCCCATAAAGAAAACAAACCAGGCCACCCACATGGGGAGGGTGCCCCGCTTTCCTTCCACATCAGCAGACGCATGGAGCAGGCGACACCTGTGTAGGAGCGCGATCGAGGGCAAACTCCGCCCACTTTAGTGTATCCCATCTGCTATGTGAACAGTAGCCAAGCCTCAGAATGGGCCCAACAAAACTCGTCCAGATGGTTCATGATGAATGGCCTCTAATCCATATGGCTGATTGTTTCATGGTGTGATTAAAAAAAAGATGAACCCTGAGGCCTTTTTCACTTCACTATGAATCGATCTGTCTTATCCATCAATGCTAATCTCTGCCAATTTGGCGTTTATCTCCCTTTCTTTTGACATCATTCCAGCAAATCTTTTTCATCCTTTATTCATTCATGCCTTTTCATGACTCCATAAAATCTTTGATAGATCTCTCTAAATGACAGCTTCTACCTCTCTGTTTCTACCAGGAATCTCTCATCTATCTGTTTTTTCACCTTTTTAAACCCTTACCGCCATTTCCTTTTTCCTTATTTCCGCATTTCTTATATTTTTTTAAACCCCTCTGGCTGGGAACAGCACAAAAACATGCATCAACATGGGAGAAGTTCCTGTGACCATGTGCCTACATGTTTGTCCACATTATCCTAATCCAATTAAAGTCTCAGAGTAAAATTGATTAACAAGTAAAAAAGTCAATGTAAAGGTTTGGAAGAGCAAACACATGATCATGTTTTTTTCAAGCACAGATAATCAGTCATTTAAAAACTTGCAGTATTGGGGTGTCTACTCTTAGTCTCTCTGCTATGATACAGAATGTATTGACAGAGCAGAGAATCACATTACAGATCAATACAAAGGCACCAGCTGGACAGTTTTTACTCTACAGGCTTTTCCCCACCTGAAATTAAAATGTGTCAGAGGCGACTGTAACATATGTGGTCAGCTATGAGACCAGGTGTCGACGCATTAAGGGTGAAACTGATTAATGGCGAATCTGGACTGCACATGATGACCTGGGCCACACAGAGCGACCACAAATTTGAAATCCTATGCCACAGCTGTGCGTTCTGCCATTGTCGTATTAACATCCGACAAATAACAACTTCCCTTGTTTACATCTTGAAAGGTTCTGTGGTTTCCTCGTTTTTTCCATGCCTTTTTCAACAGAGTTGTGTAATCACAGAACTCAGCAAGCAGCCTCGATTCGATTCGATGGACTGTATTTATATTTCTCTAGCTGACCAAAACAAATAAACATACCTCTAAAACCTCAGCTATCAGAATAAGTAGAAGTCATATACAGAATCAGCTGGTAATTTGCAGTTCATAAATGAAGAACTCCACATTTGGAAATGATGTAAGCAGAAGTGTGGCTTTGATGAGAATTTGGCTGTGTTGTAATGTGCTGTACGTCTACTTTTCATAGACATTCTGGGTTCTATATGTTGCGTACATCTTTCTGTGTGTGTTGGATGTGGTGCAGCCTACAGCCTGTTTATCTGTGTGGGAGTCAGGAAGTGAGAGCTGATAACAACTCATCTCTTGGGACGCATGTTTCCCCCTGAACTGACACATTTAAAGCAGTTCATTTGTAATTTAATCACCTCACATGCACTGACTGCCAGGTGTTTACAGGCTTAGCGTAACATGAGGTTAAGCCTTGTGAAGCGCCGCCTGGAACAATCATTAATGCAGTGCCGCATTTGTTAACTGCCAAATTCTGTTATTTGTGTTTTCACCGATGATGTCAATACGATGGAGTCATGGTTTGATTTTTAACAAGATGCTTCTATTTTCAAAAATCCCACACTACAGCGCTGGTGAGGACTTTTTTCTTCATACAAATATGCAGACATGCAAACATGTACTGTATATCCAAATGCTATCTACTAAATATAATGTGATATATCCAGGTCATAACATCCAGAATGTAACTCTCTACGCATTAATTAAACAAATCAGGGTGTGTTCAAGTTTCTCAGCGACTTCAGCTATAAAATCTACATCTACATCTCCATGGTGTGCTTGTGCATATTTGCACTTTCGAGAAGCAAACAACCTTGAGTTTGGTTTCACTCTTTCTGAATGTGCTTGACGCTGTTCCTGGTGGGCAGCCAGTTTGACTCATATTTGAACGTCTCTCGCAATTAATTTATCTGAGCTAACCCTCCATGGACAGCGATGCCTGAAGATTTCAGCTACATTCGGAAACACTTGCGTAGAGATCCACGTTTTAGAAATGGATGTCCAACTTTTGCTCCCGACAAAACACAGCCATCATGACATTTTCTTTGCATAAGGAAAAGGAACTTTTTCACAGTTCTCCAATGGTGTTTTTACTTTTGTGTGCACGGCCATTCTGAGCATGTATCTTTCACCTGTAGTACTCTGCGTTCGCCGTTAGATCGGCAACGGTTGCCAGGTCCACTTTGGCGTCTTCCCAGTCAGGGAGACCCAGCAGCTGTTTGATCACGTTGTCAGCCATCTGCTGCATGAACTGCAGCGTCTGCACGTAGTCGCCCCGCGCGGCGAAGATCTCATCCAGCCTGGCGAGGTGTTGGTGCAAGCCGGTCCTCATGTTGCCCATGGTGCCAGTCACCTGCAGGGGGAGGGGAGACGAACTTTTAGCCCAAGTGCTGTTGAAAAGAATTGACTGTTTCTTTAAGCTTCTTTGAATATTCTTGTTTCTTGGTTGAAATGGACAGAGCATCTGCAAATAGCTGCAGTAGCTGTAGTACATCTCTAAATATAGATGTTTTCTGTTGCTCACAGCGACGCACTCAACCAGCCGCTGAATGGCTGTTCCTGCGGGGTCACTCTCTGGATACACTGGACAAGTCCCGGGGATACAGCCGTACCCAAACCTGTCTCCAGGCTGCTGTGAGTTGGATTGTTCTCACAAGCCAACAAAATTGTTATCACAGAGGAATTCCTCTTTATGACTGTACTACTACTAATTCATCACTCAGCATCAAGTGACATACATGTAACAGCCACTGTGAGCTGACAGGTAGTCTAAACTGAAAGACTTTTGGTTGTATGTTTTGGTGAATTAATTGAATGTTTTAACAAAAAAAGAGCAAATATATTAGAGCGCTCTAAATATATTTGATTTCCAACAGCATTATCTGGAAGAATATGATTTTGTACATTATTGGCCACATTCTAAGAATCTTGTTATGGACAGAAAAACATAATTAATTTTAAACCTGATTTTTTATGTCAATCTTTCAAAATTCAATTTTTTTCCCCAAGAGAATATACTGTATATAATTTTCTGAGCAGAATTACTTACTGTCCAGGGTGAAGACCGCCTCCAGAAGAAAATTATCCCCATGGAAACAAAACTAACTGCTTCCATACATTCAGAGAATAGGGTTGCATTTAGAAAATCTAACTTATATCTCCAATAAATAAGAGCGAGCTGAAAAAAAAACTTTTGCCTGTGCTTGCAGTAATAGTTTTACCACCTTTCTACCCTTTAAGTTACAAGGCATGCAGCAGTGGAACACCTTCTGCTATTCGTCGGAGAGGTTTACAAAGAAAAGGAAAAGAGAAAAAAATAAGGTGAAATAGGCTTAAACACAAGGCTGTTCTACAAAGGAACGTACACAGAGGTGACAGTGGAGAGTAGAAACACTGAGTGTGGGAGTCTGTTCATTTTGGTCTGGAAAACAGACAAACAAAACTACAGAGCGTAGCCGTGAAATAGCAGGTTTGTGGTCGTTGCTGTCAAGCTATTGTTGAAAGTGATCCATCACTAATGATAGTTTGTTTATCTCTTCCGGCCTTGTTACTATAAGACAACTGATCCATTGTCTGAGGGGAGGTGTGATCTTCTCAGGAGACCAACAAACTACACTGATGCATATAATTCAGAAGAATACATTTATACTTTTTTTCTTTTTGTCCAAGAGCCCAGACCACATTATTTGGTAATGTGTGGTTAGAGTACGTATGGTCCACTCCAGCGCTGCCCCATTGCCTTGTGTTTAATTAATGTGTGCTTTGCTCCAAGGTAGTGGTTGTTTACAGAAGGGATGGCACACATGGAGACATCCTGCTATTTGATAATTAAAAAGGGCATGTTCCATTCAGCGCCGGGTGCTTGGCATTTACAAAAGAGACAACTCATATTGTTTTAGTATTTTGTGAGGAGAAGAGCCTGAGGTTTTTAATTGGGTTTGCATTCAATGTGTGGCCCATGCATGGGTAGACTGAGAGAAAAAGAGGACATAAAAGTATAGAGGAAAGAGGCACCAAGCCTTAGGTTAGCTGGGTATTGTCTGAACGGCTTCCGGAGGGGGGTTTCACACACTTTGTGGGTTACTTTTTAAAAAAGAAATACTTCTAGAATATGTATAATTTTAGCCATGTAATTTTAGCTGGTCATTGAACTTATTGGGGACTCTCTCAATCGATGACTAGAGATAAATTTAAAGAAACCATATTGCAAAATGTTGAGATATTCAATAAATTATAATCTCAATTTAGAAATATGATAATAATATAAGTTAGATGGGCAACTAAAATCCTAAGGTCTAATACTGAGGGATACATTTCTGGGGATGTTTTTGCAGCTCTTGTGGAAAGAAACTGAAGCTCCCCGTGGTTTTTGTCGGTCTCAGCTTTAAAAAGAGTCTGCCACCAGTTAGACATCATGAAATGTGTCAACATATGTGTCTTTGTGGTGACGCAGTTCAATGCATAAAAAAACAAAAAAACACTACAAGTGCAGTTGAGGAGCAGTTCGTATTGTGTGAGACTTCCTGCTAAGCCCTCTTAAGTTGCACACAAGCAGGGGTGTGTGGCTATTTTTGTTTAATGACAGCATTTCTTCTCTATTTCTTCTCCCTCAAACGAATCAAGCCCACTTTCCTTTTTTTAAAACTCTGCTTCATATGGCGAACACCCGCCTGGATGACAAATAAAAATTAAGCACTGAGTTTATTGTATTGTCATATTTAGACTTATGGGTCTTTGTAGTTTGTTATCTGATCCGTGCGTGCTCCCCTTCAGACTAAGCTGATGGAATTGAATGTGCAGAAAAATTAAAGCGTTTATCGGCTCATGCTTCCTGTGTGGAAATCTTATCTTAAATGCCCGGGGAAACGGCCAATACAGATAATCTCTCCTCCATCTTGATGTGATCCTCACTGTGTAAGTGATCTGCACAGATCAAGAGAATATGATTCCCAGTCCCAGTTTTCACCGGCTTTATCTAAGTATCCTGTTTTTAGGGCACACCGACGCCATATTTGTCTCACGTCTTTTCTAAACAAACCTTTTTGCTATTTTGTGAAAAGCTGTTTAATTGTGAGCCGTGTATTCTACTGTACACACCAGAGGGAAAACAGCTAAGAAAATAAAAAAAAACAAGAAAAGACATAAATGTGACAGATAGAACACAGCCTTGGGCTGGAAGAGTGACAATGGGAAGTAACATTTCACATGTAGATTCTAGCGTGACAAAAGGGAAGAAAATAAATATCAATGGGCTTCATGTCAAGGTTCTTATCTACCATAATGGGAAAAAAGGGCACTTCTAAATTCAAATGTTACATCAAATGCCTTCTAGGAGTTCTGTATATTATTCATACAAGAATACATACCGACACTTTTTCAAAGGCTTTGAAAAGCTTAGATGATAAAAACCGAGTGTGGTTTAAATTGTACATTCCTGATGTTCCCAAAGTATTCTGTGCACAGGCCTCCTTAAAAATATACCAATATATCAGACTGTTTATAAAGAGGAAAAAGTTGAACAGGGGTCAGTTATGCTCTTCTATTTCAGTCAAGCTAATTAAGCAAAGCCTTTATATCAGCGAGAATGACAACACAGTTCATAACTACACAGAACAGGCCTGCATTGGGAAATCATTCACCCCTGAGACTTATGTTACAAGTCATTCGGCTGGAGTTTTGATTTTGAAAACGATAAGTGAAATATGATATTGACTGAACTATAAATCAACACCAAAGCTATAGGTAAAAGCAGCGGGACTCCAGTTGACCCCCAAACAGCAGCGGTAAATCTGTCTCAGCTATCTACTCTGCACTGATTTGTCCAGTGATCCCGCACTTTTTTTTAACCTTCACACACAATTAATATTCCACCATACCTTCTCTGAGCCATCCAGTAGCTAAGAGGTTATCACTGTGCGTGTGGTAGATGAATGTTCTCTGGGTGCTGTGTTAGTTTCCTTTAACACTAAACACATGCAGATAAAGCACTCCTCTCTCTATCATTACCTTGTGTGGTGAATAGCTCACAATTCTGTGCAATTACGAAACAGCTCATAATGAGCATTGTGTGAAAATATGCACACTCGTAATTATGTCGCGGGCCACGATCCAGCCCACGTTTTGCATTCTCGCCAAACGCTCAGCGAGTGACCCAGACGTCAACCCTGTCCACCGGGAGATTGTCTACAGCCAAAAAGCTCTCACAACTCCTATCTGCAAAACAATAGAGTTATTATTGGTGTGGTGAGCGCTTCAAATGTCACGTCACGCCCAGAACGTCGAACTTTCAATATTTGAAATTTCAATCTGAACGATCCTGCTCGGGATCGAGTCTTTCAGTGTGCGTGTTTCTGCTCGCTTTGACATTCTCCCTCCGTTTCACATAGATCACAGGCATTTATTCCAGACTGTGACAAATCAAGCTCTCAGTGAGCGTCAAACTTCCCTTCTTTTTCCTCTCTTATGCTGCGAGCTAACTTTCTTCTAAACAATCTTGGAGAAGGGGGTAAAAGGCATTTGTGTGGGCCAAAGAGGAGTGAGGCCTTCATTGTCGAACGGTTTCAATACTGATTTCAATCCTGACTCTGCCAATCAGGCGGCGTTGCCCTGCTCCTTGTTGTTCCCAATCAAAGGGCTTTGTCTCCTGGGCTCATGGTTGATTAGGTGGGGGGAGACTGGGAACTGTGTGCGGCACACTGGGCTCTTTGTCCTCTTCAAGAGTTGGACTCCTTAACAGTCTATAGTGGCATGCAATGAACTCACTTGTGCAAATGCACACAAGTAAGGGAACTCAAGATTCTGACGGCATCCATGTGCGAGCATGAGCACAAGTTATTCGGATTACTATTATGTTTACGATTGCTATGGTTTGCTCACGTGACTTTGAAAAATGACGGTGGCAGAGTGGTTTCCAAGAGGCAATCGGTGCCCTTCAGTCCATCGAATATGAAAATGCCGGGAGGCACACCTATCTGTGTGCCTTGTCGTGCACACTTGTCATGCTTGCTCGTGCATTTATACTGAAGGAATTGAGTAATGGTGCGTTCCAATTACTCAGTTCCCTGTGAAGTGGACTGAATGCGGTACGCAGCCCTGTTCAGATTCCTAATGATGGGAGGTTCAAAGGACACTTTGATCCGTGTAGGAAGGAACTGAACAAAGGTGTAACACTTTATATTAATTTAACAGCAAGATGATCATTGAGTCCCCGCATCTTGACTTCCAAATTACACAGAAGGGCACGTTAGCACATGTTTTATTGTCATAATTACTGTTCTTACATTGCAGTTAACACTTACTTCTGACATTAAAATGATCTCTAATGCTCTAAACAAGCTTGTACTAATGGCCGCTGACCCGTCTAAGGATATTTAAATCTCTGGACCACACGCATTAACATCTGACCAGAAATCAGGTTTGTGATGAATCTCCTCACTTCATTTAAATGCAGGGGGAAATTTACAAAGCAAAAGCCGAAAGCGTAAAAAAGTGCTGGTTTCATTCAAATGCTGTCAGGGCGCCTGATGTTAAATCACAAAAGGGATTTGTCAGCAAAATTATGGTAGCAGAAAACCTACTTGAAATTCTAGCTGTGTGCAGACAGGTTTGCATCTTTTTTTTTCCAAGCAGACATTTGTAATTCTGAGCAGATGGCTAAAACAACACTGTGGAATCCACTTAAGATAAGATAAAGTAAATGGTTTAGGTGAAGTTTTTTACATTTTACTCAATTTGATCTAAAAAAATAAGGTTTTTGTAATGCCGTGAGACTGAGTGCATCAATGGTTTGTAATGTAGTGTGCCAAGCAAAGCCAAGTTTCTCAGCCTGGTTCCACTTGTCCGTTTAAATTGTAGATTTCCATTTGGGTGTCTTCTCTTTACCTAGTTTTGTCCACAGCCATAAATCTGGCTGTCTTTTTGCCTTGCTTTGCAGTAACATCTCTTAGCAAGCTCCGCTAAAGAGTTAGGCAGCTAGTTTAGCCACAGCTGTACAGATGTTGTCAATGTTAGATTTGCCAACGCAGACTTTTTGAGTGGCACAATGTGTGGAGAGTTTTGTCGACTGGTGATGCGGCAGATTTTCTGAAAAAACTATTTTCTATAAGCAAAGCTAACACATGTAATATTCCCCGAGCAGATAGCACTGAATAAGTACTGGTGGTGTCCAAGTGAAATGGAAAACAGATTAAATCAGTGGTTTGTGTTTACTGGCTTAATGCATATAAAGTGAGAACTAATCCCAAAACATATAAGCCAAACCTGTCGGACATGAGTGGTTTCTCAAATTTTTTCTGTGTAAATTAAGGACAGAGTATATCTATGGAAGCCAGGCCACTAAGAATGACCATGGAAATCTGAAATCAATTCTCCCTCCTAATCATAACTGTGGCTTGTCCTAACACGCCTTATTATAGAATGCTGTGAGAGTGCAGTGGGCTCTTTACCCTTTCAGTGAGCCGTTTATAACCAAGGCCATGTTGAGTCACCACGCCAAGAAGCGCACACACCACTACATTAATCTCCATTAACACAGATGGAGACTTAATCCCATCTCTTCAACAGCTAGTGATCCTAGGGTCTCTGCCTGCCTCTACCACCTCAGAATAACGGATTTCTGCACAACAAAAAGGTGACAATGCATGTCTGAAGTCTAAAGATTTATCCACGAACAATTAGAAATATTATTTAAAATACTTTTGATGTTAATGTAATCTATTATTTGACTATTTCACAAGAACAGATATGTCATCAGGTAGTATGAAATTAATCCACATATGTCATCGTGAAGACTAAGTAAGTCTAATAATGTAAAGTTAACCAACACAACTCTCAATTCTGATCAAATCTGAGTAGGCGGAGTCAGCAAAAAATGCCTTTATGGGAGAGTTCTAATCCCCCAGCTGGTTTGGGAGTGTCTTAGTCTCCAGATGAGCTGGAAAGAGGCTCAGAGTCAAGCTGCAAACACTGCGAAGATTGATAAAGTCAATGCAAATTTCAAGCCACTTTCTGTCCTTTTCTGAATTTTTTTATTAATGGAAATAATTATGGAATTCCATCAATCTCCACACTTTCTACTAAAACACGTACGAACCGTGTTATTCTCCTATGCTTCCTGACTCCATCTGAAACGAATTATGGAATTTTTGTTACACCCTTATAATTTGTGGAACAACTTCCAACTCAAGATATAGATCAAGCATAGCTTGACTATGCAGAGAATAGGATGAAGGGCCAAGTTTAAAGTGCATGTTTACAAAAAAACGGCGAGTGAACAATACTTCTGGTGAGACAAAAAAGGGGAAAAAAAGATTCTAAATGAGAGAAAACCTAACTTTGAGATAGACTGAAAAGAGAGAGGTCGGCAGCACGCTGCATGGAGAGTGAAGGAAATGTAAAAAATAGATTAACGTGAAAGTAAAAGTGAACACGGCTCTTTGTTTTCCATTGAGGCCACAGTGGAGCGTGAAGGGTGAGTGTGTGTTGTTTGCCTGTCTGAGAGGAGAGCTTTTTGTGTTGAAAGGCTGTCAATTTGTGTGTAGCCGAAAAAAGCTATAAAAAGACCATGAGAAACATTTAAAGGCATACTAAATGGAGCCCTTTGGGCTTTCCTCCTTTCTTAGATGTGTGTGTTTGTCTCTTTGTGTATGAATAAAAAAAAAAAACAGCATTTCAGAAGACTTCGTGCTCAGTTGTTTGTTTCCTACTACTGGGACACTTGCAAGTTACATAACTTTGACCAAACTTAAACCAAATAACCCGAGTGGTGAATGAAAGGCATTATGCTTTACCCACCAAACTGTCCACTCCACCCAGTGTGTGATTGGCGTTGTACAGGGAGTAGGTCAGCTGGTATACGCCGTCATTGGTCTCACTGTTGCCATAGAAACCCACACCAACCGCGATGCTGCAAAGAGATAAAGAAAAGAAGGACAGGTACGTCTTCAATAAACAAATGAGCTGTTTGTGTGGTTCATCTTGTTTGTTGGCACAGATATCAATCCAAAAGTCGACTGCTTTAAATGCATCAGTTGGAGCCTTGAACAACCTCCTGATCTTTTGAAAAACACAAAACACTCATTTTCAAGACAAATGTTGTCAGTGGGTTGCGATTCATGATGTGTGTTATTACCTTGACTACCCATGAAATACTTCCATCTTTCACAACTAATAAGCACATCAAATTTTCACAAATCATTTCCAGGGTTTGAGAACCAAATTTCACAGTGAAATTGAAAAAAAAAAACACAATCTCTTTCCCTTCTTTGGTTTCACATCCATAGACAAGATTAGACCAAGCCTTGGTTCGTCTACCATTTGGGCTCAATTTTCAGCCACAGGCTTTGCTGAAATTGGGGCATTCAACAGGACACTAATCATAAAACAGCAGCAAAGCTACAGAAGAATGTCTAAAGATGTGTTTTCCTGACTTTCCTACTTTTGCATTCTGTCTTCTTCCTTTTCTCTGTGAATAATGTTTTTTTGCTGTTGATCAGAAGTTGTGTTTTAATTTACATATCTGGCAAGGAGCAGATCATTTCTTATTGATCTCAGAATTTTTAGAGTGGGTTGCATTTTTGTTTAATTCACCGTACACCTCTGATGAACATTTGCAAGCAGATACCAGGAGCAAAATTCAAACGGTTTGCAAACGACATGGCGACTGAAGAACTGCAAACGTGTGATAACACTTTGGTGGTGATTCATGTGCGCAGCACTCCCTGAACTAGATATTACACAACGCAGAGTTTCTGAACGTGTCTGCATAATTTCCACTTTTTGCGTATGCAGCTACGCACAGATTTAATTTGTTCATCTGAGGGATCAGCACAAACAGAATAACAAACTGCAAAACAAGGCGTCCCTTTCTCCCAAAGTGCTGCCAAGAAGGGAGCCATTTTATTTAATGAAGTTAATTATTAGTGTTTTTTTTCTATCTGTACTCTGACATAAATACATGGTTGTGTAAATCATCTCTGGAAGAAATTGTGATGCTCCCTCACTCTCTGTCATATATTCTCCAGTTTGTTTAAAAAGGGTTCTTTTAGTGAGAATCTCAAAATGCCTCAGTTTAAATCATGCCCCAGATGAGGGCAGGTCAGGTCAGCACCGAAGGGAAGCGGGAACCAGCCCAACGGAGACCGAGCTCCGCTTCCTCACCGCCGTGGCTCTCCACGCTCGACGTAATAACGGTGCTTTGTGTAATTGTGTCATTTTCAACCCGGCGCAGCTGTGGCGGCAGAAGCCGCGCTCAGGAGGAGCCATTTTCCTAATGACCACAGCCGGAACGCGGTCTCGTTAAGCGACCTGCCGTAGAAAAAGCTTCCAATTTGCAGGCTCCGCCCAAACCCTCCGAGCAGATTGGAAGGGAAAGAACAGCACTCAAACGCAGACAGAGGAAATTATATAAGCAGGTTTATGATCTGTATTCAGAGAGTGGGATGCTGGAAAACACATAATATGACAAAAACAGAGAGGGAGAGAAAGGGAGAACATCAGTAAACAATGAGGAGGAAATCAGCTTTGGAGCCACACAGAAAAACTATTTACTGATGAAATACTTTTAATTTTGTTGGCTGAGTTGTAACTATTTATTTATTTATATTCATCATCAACTTATCACAAACTAATTGGGTGAAAAAGCCTGTACCTTTGGGCTAAGACTTGCCAAAAGAGACTGTGATAAACCACAGTGTAGAAAATCAATGAAAGCAAGGGAGCAGCTTGTTTTTTAGTGGAATAATTCAGTTCTTAATCCGAGACGGGACAGCAAACACAGAACGTCTGCACACAGACAGAATCTCTCCATTACACTCTCCCCTCATGCTGCTCCTTGAGGTATATATTATCAATCCAATGACAAAGAATAACAGATTTGTGTAGGCGTGCACTGACCAAAGTCCAAACTGTCATGTTGATGTATGAAAAAAAGGCAGATAAAAGGCATGGATGGAAATAGACTCTGGCACGGGCTTTTTCTTTCTCAAAAATAGCAGAAATGAATCATCTAAATAAGACCCTGTTATAGATATAGTCCCCCCCCCAAAAAAAGAATAAATAAATAAATATATATATATATATATATTGTATTTTGTATTGTTTTATTTATTTATTTATTTATTTATTTATTTATTTATTTATTTTATTTATTTTATTTATTTTATTTATTTGTAATAAATAGATATATATAATATATATATATTTAACTGTTTTATGTTGTTCTTTCCTGACTCGAATGGATGAAAGTGTGGCTTTAGTTGTCCTGGCTATTAGGAAAAAAAAGCCACTGGAGTGAGCACTGCCCCGCTTGTTAACAACTTGAAGCAATACCCCACAGGAGTATTTAATTTACTCATGATGATACACAGATAGACGGGGTGGATGAACAACCCGGAAAAAGAATGCCTGTGGATGTGAATGCCGGGGAGGGTGGCAGAACTATCAACATTTTGATGTCATGGAGCAGCTGTTCTCAGCATCCACAACTTAATCCATAACGGGATGCTATAATTACAGTGTTAATGTGTTACACCAAGAGCATGGCTGGTGTTATTGACAACGGACAAGCCTGTATGTCTAAAGCTTGTAAACAGACACTGTGGTTATAAAATCGAGCGTAATTTCTTCCATTTGCACGGGAGTGCATGCAGCAGAGAGGGTGTTTGTAAAGGGCCTTCATCTTGTAGAATAATGAAACCGCTCTGCTACTAAATCGTCTACAAGCTGAAACTAGATTTGACTTAAAATTCATCTTTCATTGTCCTCTCAGAAAAAGATGGATGGATGCGGCCGTAATTCCAGATGGGTTGAAAAATACCTTTCATGAAATGAGATCCGCAACCACTAAACGTAATGCATCTCCGGTAAATTCTAAATAAATCACTAATTTCGAATGGATTTTGGGAGTACGACTGAGGCTGCAGTGTGTTTTTTTCAAAGGGACAGCATAAACGAGAGTCTTCAAGCCCAGAGAGATGGAATATTTCACTGAAAATCTGCCTCAAAATGGAATAGTTTTTCCTTTAATCATAGTCTGCCGCTCAAACATGTTTCCGGGGAAATCCAGCCTGGATGTTTTTTTGAAGTTTTATCAAAAGACTGTCAAACAGAAATGATCATACTAGTTCAGCACCTGAATGTATCAGCTTTTTCTTTTTAGCTTTTTCTTTTAAGATCTTCTTTCATTTTCTCGGCTCTTGTCTTGGTCTAATCAGTCAAGCTCCCAAAAAGAAACCTCCAGCCTGAGAAACAAAGCCACTGTAATGAAACGCAGCTAAAGGGACACGTCACAGAAATATTTCCTAACATGGTCACGTTTTAGTCAAACTTTAGTGAGAGTTATCCTCTTTTCAAGAGACGTTAGCCAGCTGTTCCTTAACGGTGGACACTTTTCAGCTCATGAATCTAACAAACCCCAAATCCTTGTCGGTGTTATTCTTCGACGTTTTACATTTAATGTTCTACCCAGGAAGTGAAGTCAATGCTTCTGACAGAATGCACTGACCGGTCGAGGCTACACGCCAGAGAGAAATTCTTATCCCTGACACTTCTGCGGTTCCCATGGTCCGTGTTCCCAGCTACTCTGTGCTTTCAGCCATATTTCTGCTCATCTAAATTTGATTTGGCCAGATTCATGTTTAATGAGGTGAAGACTCTCTACATTTGGGACACTTCACATTTTAAGTAAGTCAACATTAAAAATTAAACAGTCGGTCAGCTCAATGGGCGAAAACGGAAGTCATTTGCTGCCATCGCTGAATAAATTTGATTAGTAAAAGGTCATTTAATGCTATATTTTCAGGTAGTGATTCAGAAGTGATGACACCTTATCCAGATGAAATGGACAGGCTTACTTGTAACAAAATGACAAAAACGTTTGTGTTTTTTTCTTAATTTCTTTTGTTTGTAACTCTTAAATGGGGTCAAATCGGTGCCCAGAACGTTTGGCTTATTTATCTGATTTGTAGGTGTCATTTTCTCATAAATGTGTCCGATATTGCAGGAATGACAGTAAAACGGAGCATTTTGCAGGGGCGTTTTTTAGCATCTCACCCTGGAATTGAGCTGGAACGTGGGTGGCACGCAGCCTTGTCGTTCATTTTGTTTGTACAGTTGTGGTGGAATTTGCTCCCCGATTTTTTGCCTCTGATTTATCGCCTAAAAGAGACAAATCACAGCCACAGTGGTCAGAAGTCAAACTGTTCAGCCGTTCGAGCCGTTCAGAAGGTTCTTTCCTTTCATCCTGATTAGATTTCACATTGGATACAGACGTGTGGGCAGTTTTACAAGAAAGCAGAGCAACCAAGAAATGTGTGTAAATGATTGGCGCGACACACCAACAATGCACACTGTGGCCAGTAGTGCTGAGGCTTCAGGATCATTTTACAATCACGCACTACTGTGTATCCAACAATGAACTTTAAAAAAAAGGCAAAATAGCAGTAAAGCTGGAGCAGCTGATAAGCATGGCTGTCACATGTCTGAGCATCCACTGCAAATTAAGTTATCTACTTTGAGAGGGCAGCAGGTCTCATCGACAAATCTAATAGGTTGTATCTGTTGATGCCGGTGCTGACGATGTTGGATTTTGTCCACGTGTCCCTGTAACTTTATTACAAACTGTACGGCCCGTGTTTAGGAGGGAAGCGATTTGCAAATTTGACACAACAGCAGAAACTATGAGATCATGTGCTTGTGTGTGATGATGTCACTCATTTATGCTATTAAGAGGCTTGCTGGGACGGTGCAACAGGGTCTGTGCTAAAGGAAGCAATTACAAAAGCTCATGTGAAAGCATGCGTCCATGGGTTGCTGGTCGCTAACTTTAAACTTTCTGTTTCGTTTCAAACCACAGGATGACATGAGGATTGCAGGATCACTTTTTACCATTTGATCATTGTGAAAAATACATTCTCTAGTTGATTCCCAATGAGATAAGACCAAAGGGAAAAAAAAGGTCAGAGAGGACTGTCAAACAGATAGTATCTAAATGAATGTCTCTGAGTTGAAAGAGAATTTGCAGAAACAGATCAAAGTTTGGCCTCATTAAAAGAAGACGGTCCAAACAAAACAAGAACTTTACTGGTGTGAACATCATAAAACTTTACAGAAATAAAAATAGTGGTTTAGGTGTTTCATAACACAAGTGGACCTACAAATGGAACAGCAGGGACAACTGGAAAAAACAGTCAATTCTAAGCATATGAACATCTAAATAACAGATATCATAATAAAGTTCCACTCAACATATTTTACTTTTTATTTGATAGAAATATCGACTGAAAACCAAATAATTGAGACTGAATATTAATTTAAAGTTGTCTAAAGAACTTCCAAATGGTGGTTCTGCTCTTATCAAACTCTGATTTTACAACCAAATAACTAAAACAACTCAAAATCCAGATAAGCAAAATGGCCTAGAGCCCAAGTTTGAGCTTAACTTATTTAGTAATGAGAGTCACTTAAGACCCAACTAATCGGTCTTGCTAACATGGTGTCACTTACAGCTCTGCGTTTGCAGCGTACAATATTTGGCAAATAAAACGAAGGGCAGACGAGTGTTCTCACCATGTGATGAGGCCGGCGGTGACGGCGGACCACGTGACGCAGCAGGAGTTGGGCTTCTTGCTTTCCTCCTCCTCATCCTTGCGGCAGCAGCACAAACAGCTCAGGTAGATGGCCAAACACAGGAGGTTCAGGCCCAGCCCCGCCGCCGCCACGCAGCCCAGGAAGATGAGAGACTACAGAGAGAAGAGGGGGGAGGAAATCATGTATTTTACACTCAAAGGCAATGAGCAACCGTAAAAATGTACACAGCACTGTAAACTTTTGCCTGAGTAAAAGTGCCACTGTCACTTCAACCCACACACAAGCTCTGTGTTCAGGCTCAACCAAATTCCAGGCCCTTTTCCCAGAGAATGTTTCAACCCATCAAAGAAAGGAAAGTCCCAGATGTTACTGATAACATTACCAATGACCACGCTCAAGTGACTCAGAAAGAAAGAACCGTTTTCTAAAATAAAAAGCTACGCTTTCTGATCTTAAGTTTGAACTGTACCAGTACGATTTGTTTGCTGATCCAAAGTTCAAAACGAAGATGATCTGGCTTACTCAACTGGCTTCAAACAAAAAATAAAGAAGAGGCAGATCTAATTCTGTATTGCATGAATATGTAAATACCCTATTTTGAGGAACACTTTATTTAAATATGTTTTGTTTTTACATTTAACCTCATGCAGACTTGAAAATCTGTAATGTGCTATTATGCATGTTGTGTTAGATGTGTTAGAGGGTAACACAGAACAAAGTAATGCATCAGAGCACTCAGATTTTATACCCGTGGTAATGTTGCCTGTTAGTTTTGCAACATAATCTATTATTTGTTGCTAATTTACAATTCTTTGCTTTCTCAAATAAATAGTTCATTACCACCGACACTGGACGATATCACCCTTGGGGGCTGATTGTGTTGATTGTAGCTTATCCTGACCCAATAAGACCAGTTGTCTGATTGGTCACAATTATCCAGCTTCTCTTTTCTATTCACAGAAGCACAAAGTGATAAGTTGCTGACTTGACAATTTCGAAGCTGAATAAACTCTGTCCATAAAAAAAAATTATGTCAGACATCTGAAATATTTTTTTTTCTCTGAGAGCATCATCACAGACAGAGCTTCCTGTTTAGATTTTTGTTTTTACAACATTAGATTAATGTTTTGGCACACCAAGCACGCAAGTTTCTGTAATTATCTTGTTAATAAGGCATAAGAACCTATGAATAAGACCTCTTTACCGGCTCTGGTATTAAAAAGGTCCAGCTGCATTCTGGGAGTTTGCCTCCAGCTGGAAAGCAGACATCTCATCATAGATCTACTTCTCATTTCTCCGCTAGCCCCCATCCCATCTTCTGCCAAAGATGGAGTGTGATGACAAAAATAGCAACAAGACTGTCGTTACAGCCTCAAATGAATTCCGCATCCATCTGTGAGCAGATGGGCTTGTTCAAGCCGAGGCACTCGTTTTTCACCCTTTCTCCTCCTTTTTAGATAGTCTGAAATCTTTGTGGTGCTGGGCCATCTGCTTTGTGTGATGTCACGTCTCCTGTCGGGATTGGAATGCGGAAACAGAGGAATCCGCAGGAAAATAGCAACAATGCCATATGAAGCTGGGTAAAATGCTGAAGTTGAAATGCTTCTGCATTTCTTTAGGATTCAGTTTATTCCTCCATAATCAATCGTTGCTGTCTTACTTCATTGCCCACCTTCTGTATGGTTTAAATGACAGTTCACCATTTAATGATGGGAATGAAATCTTAAACTGGGACACATTGATGTGTTTTCTCCAAACATAGTATGATGTAAACTCTGTATTTTTGGCTTTCACTTCTGGGAGCATTCCACCCGCAGTTGTTTGGGGTGCTCACGTGAACTCTGCAGACATGTTGTTGTTGTTGTTGTTGTTGTCACCTTTCGGCTTTTCCCTTTAGGGGTCGCTAACAGCGCGTCTTCCTGACACAATCCTCGCATTTGTCTGGGCTTTGGAGCGGGACACCGACAGAACACAGAGGCTGCAGTGCAGGCAACTAGGAGTTCAGTGTCTCGCCCAAAGACACCTGGGCATGTAGCCGGGAATGGAAGTGGCAGATCTGCTCGTCGGCGGGCAAAAGCGCTTAACCCCTCAGCCACAGCCGTAAGCTAGCAGCGAAAAGAAAAGAACTTTGTCCACGCATTCTGCCATAAACAACACTTTTTTTAGATGGAATCATGAACTTTAACATCTGCCTGTGTGGAAAAAAACTTTGCTTACTTATGACTTAGATTGGACTATTCGTAAACAATCTGTCCAACTGTAAGATAGGAGATTAACAGCAATGAGCATCAATTTCTCCTTTTATGAGGTCCTATGCTTCAAATCAGCTGAAAACTGCTAACTTTAACCATAAAAATAACAATGCGATGAAAAGATATCGCTTTCTTTTTGTCCACCAATTTTAGACCTGCTCAAGGTTTTATTTAAGCAGACACAGGGAAATTCTAAAAGGTTGATGTACTTTTAACCAAATAGACACACACTGATTTTAAAGATAACAGAAATAATAAATTAGCTTGAATATGCTAATTATGGTAATTGCTGACAGACGGATGGCAGCGACTACAAAAGGGAGACAAAGAGAATGATAGACTGAGGGAGAAGCTGCTCGTCTCGTGTCTAAAGACGGGAGTTGGCATGAACTGGGTTCAATTGAGGTGAATCTATTAAATGAGATGGAGATGTGGGGCTCAGGTGGATAATATAAATCTCAGGGGGGGTTGGGTTGGAGACATCCCTAGATTATTTGACATGGAGAATAAAAGGGGGGGATCTCCTGCTGAACACACAAATGCTGGGCCCCCCAGCTGCTCTTATCGCCATGGTAACGTGCAGGTTAGTTGGTGCCCTCGCGACGACGAGCAATGTGGAGTGAAAGGGCGAATTATCGCAGGCTATTGGAAACAAGCAGCATGTGACGGGGTTTGCTAAAATTGCCGTGCTTTCTGTCTTATGATTCGTCTGAAGCCGGGCAACAGAGAGAGAGGAAGGAATGCGAGAGGTCGAGAGTCGAGAGAATAAGACGGCGTCGCGGTTCACTTTCATCAAGAACTTGGACGTGCAAATCAGCTCACGATTTAAAAGCGTACAACTGTACAGGGTCAGGCACAGTCAGCACTGAGGAATATATTTTTTCCTGCTTTAATAGGGTGTTCAAGGACTACACACTGAATGTTCTCTCTCTGTCACTCCTCTTTCCTCTCAGTCATAGGGTTCAGAAATCACGATTCAATGAAAAGGCACTGTATGCACACACACGCACGCACACAGAAACACACACACACCACAAGCCCATCCTGGAACCGTCACTTCCCAAGCACTTCAACCTTCCATTAAGTCAGAAACCACCATTTGTCTTTTCCTGACCGCCGAGTGTGCACGCCTTGTTTGGTGAAATCGAAATTGACTGCTTTGACCACTTAACGGCCACCTAAACAAGGACTGAGTAGTTTCCCATAAAAGCTCGATACGTTATCACCCTTCCCCTTATTGTACTTAATTCTAACTCGAGAGGCTTCAGAGCCTTTCCTCTTTTGTTTCCTTTTTGACAGTCCCTGTAGATGAGGTGGGGTGGGGAGTGGGGGGTGGGACTGAAGAAAAAAAAAAAAGAGGAAGGAAGATCTAGCTAAGGTTAAAGGCAATCCCTGAAATCTGTAGGGCCTAGAGGAGGAGGAGACAAATGAACACAAAGAGAGGGTGACACCATGAAAAGAGTTATAAATATATAATATATGCTGGTAACAGCGAGGCGGCAGACCGGGGGAGATAAAGGAGCGAAGATAAGAAAGAGGTGAAGAGTGATGGTGTATCGGCAGAAGTGACTGGCTGGCAAAGTGCATTGCGTGCGCATTCATAATGGGAAGAGACAGAGCCACCTCATCCGCACAGACATCACCTCGGCTCAGTTTCTCTCCCGTTACCGTCTCATTGTAAATGATTTTACCCCGCAGCTGAGACGTTGCGTAAGACTGCCATTTTCGCAAGTCTCATGTTAAAAAAAATGAACTCTCAAGTGCAAAACGGGACAAATCAGATTTGGATCTTTCCCCTAAGGCGACTAATTTGACTCATTTAGGGGATTACACAAAGGTGAGCTAAAAAAGCGAACACAAAAATAGTTTTGGGAGGGGCATTTTGAGCAGAGGCAGTGCCGTGACCTCTGTGTGAGCATTGTGCCACTTTAATACACTTATGTAATCCACTCAAGGCTGCATGTCATCATTATCACAATTATAAGCCAGATCAAATGAATCCTTCGCTTGGTTTCTGAAAATTGAAAAATATGGCATCATATTCGAACGTCCATTTTCAACATTAATTTCTCTTCATATGTATTAACACGATTTTGAATTTATCCATCAACATCTTCCTCTGAGTATTCATATCGATAAAAAATAACAAATCAATGCAAGTATGACGAGTGTGTTCACTCCAACTAACACAACAGAATAAACAAAGGAAGGGCCACAAACACAAACACACACTCTCGCACACCTACAGGACAAAGAGAGGCGTAATGAGGCTGTTATGACCCGGGTCAGAAGTGACCCCGAGGGCACTTATACTCCCCCCAGTCCCATCAGAGGAGTGATGAAAGCCAGTGGAAGGATGATGGCGCAGATGGGACGGTGAGATAAATGGACAGTGACGCTGTAAAAGCCTATTACAAAGCCATCTGGAAAAATACAGCGAGCTCCAAAACATCCTAAGACACAAATCTTAGACAACTGGTCTGAGGACTTAGTTGTTCTTGATATAAGGGGATATAAAAATAAACTGAAAAATGATCATCTGGGTGCTGTAAAAAAACACAAATATGCCAGTATCGGCTTAACCCATGCAGCTACAAATAAAGTTTTTATTTTGCTGTCAATGTAAGGAATTGACTGCAGGAGGTTTAACGGGGGGCTAAGAGGTGAAAGCTATATCCGTTAGCTTTATGGTAAAGCAATTTTACCATCAACCAGACAGGATATTATTGTTAAAAGCAATTTATTACAAATTTACTGTAAAACATCCAAATGTTTTGCATCCATTAAAAAAAGAAATGGCCTGTTTCGTCCATAAAATCTGACCAGAATCAGTGGCTCCTTTTTTAATTTGTGGCTCAGGATATAAAAAGTTGAAAAAGGAAAAAAATGGATGGATAGAA